ATACTATAAACTATAAATGCGCCAACTCGGAAAAATTACGACACGAGTTGAAATTAGGGATGACGATTCACTCTTAAAAAAATCGATCTCTGAATCGATTTGAATCGAAAGTACTTGAATCGATTATCGATTAAATCGAGGATTAAAAGATCGATTTTCGATTAATCGCGACATTTTCAAACATGACATTTCAAGAATTTTCGATTTTTTTTTATTTAACATCTAAACTGTTGTTGTTGTTTTTTAATTTTTTTTAATTAAAATATTAGTAATCTTATTGATTAACATTACTAATATTCCTTTTAACCACTCTTGGTAAGCTTGAAACGCTTGTTAGGAGTGGCAACGTACATTTCTCGATAAATCTGTTTCAATCTAATAACTCACTATTTATCATATCGAAATGAATGCTACACGAACACAATACTGGTTATTTCCTTACTATAAACATCTATAAACTTCAACGTACGGTATAATATTTATTTACAGTATCTAGGTATTTAAAAAGTACTCTGTCTGTACTTACTGCTCACAGTATGTATATTTTTGATAATAAATAATGTAAACTCACAAGTTCACAGTTCAAACAGGTTCACAGCTATAATATTATATTATATTATAGCACAGGAGGTGAAATATAATATAAAAATATCGGTCAAAAAATATTTATAGTTTGGGATGTAATATATATTACATCTCAGTGGAAACGGTTCCATTTAAAAGTACGGTGAGCGCTATTAATTTATATCTTGAGATGTAATATAAATTACAATATATCCCTTAGTGGAAAGTTGGCTTAAGAATTTTAGAAATGAAAATGAAATGACCACTTTTCGATATTGTTGGATGCGTTCATAAATTTTATTCAAATATATATTGCGTTCAAATTATCAACCAAGCAAGACCGGTTGTTTATGCGTCCCCCCCAATAGCAAAAAATTAAAAAGACTGTGGTATCTTACCCCACCCAGTTTGGGAATTTTAGCTAGTTCTTGTATCAAATGAATCAGTCCGATTCAAGAGGTTTTTGGATCGATTCAGTGAATCGATACAGTGCTTCGAATCGATCTATAAAATCGATAATTTTACGCCAAAGAATCGATTTTTCGATTTTAAATCGACATGCCTAGTTGAAATTCACGCAACTCGGGTTGGAACTAGACGTGGGTCGTTACGTCATTTTCAAGAAACGTAACGAAACCAGTGACTTGATCGGCGTCACCTGTTTCAAAACTAGTGATTTTTGTAACTGGCTATTTTTATTCGGCTACTGTGATTGTTTGCATAAATATCACCACCAACTATACACTTACACACGAAACGAAAATAAATTTAATCACATTCTGTGTTTGTAGCTGTACAGTAACTGTATACTGTTAAATGAATAAATTAACTTCCCTTCATACTTTATAGGTTTAGGTCTGACTGCATTAAATGTATTTATGATTGATTTGCGTTTACTATGACACTAATATTTTCATAAAATTATTAATGCAGGCATATTTACAAGTCAATTTGATTGAACATACAATGATTATTGATATTTACAGTTTATTTACACTTTTTCAACGTTTTCACTATCATTTGTTTTTGCACTTTTATTTGCACTGTACAATTAATTTGTTTGTTTGTTTGGCTATTTACACACAGTTTTTAAGTTTTATAATATTATAAACATTTAAATTTTTAAATTTTTTATACACATTTTTTAGTTTTATTTTAATTTTATAAATAAACGAGTTCATGACTCCGTCAAAAATGTTTTAAAAATTATTTTAGTTTTTTTTTTGGGGGGTGGGGGGGGGGCCGGGGGGGTGGGGGTGGTGGGGGGTGCGCTGGGTGGTCCCCGTGAGAAGAGAAAAAGGAGAAGAGACCCCCGCTCGGGGCCGTGAAGGAGGGCGGGGCTGGTGTGGGGTCCTGGGGGTGGGGGGGGGGGGGCGGGGGGGGGAAATTCAATGTGACTCGCTTCCCGGAATCGCAAACCGTTGAAATTATTTACAAACAGAGATTACTCTATTTTATTGTCTATGTCTATAGTCTTACGTATGAAATTTAAACGTACAATAATACTGTTACTTACGATGTTTTGTTTATTGTTGTATGCCACATGTGCGCTTTGCGCTCGACCGACCGACAGTCGACTGCCGACAGTAATCATAATCACGCATTTACAAAAATCACTACTTGTAACATGACTCGAAACTAGTGATTTGGTTACATGCCGCGTAGCCAGTTACTGTATCTAGTGACGTGAAATAACGCCCACGTCTGGTTGGAACTCGAGTTAGCAGTACGAAACAGAGTAAATGATTTGTTACAAATTACTTTTTTATAAATTTGTTTTTCTATCTAGCTCTTTGGTGGGTTGGGATAACTATAATTACAATTTTATGTACTAAATTTTGTAGGTAGGATTAAATAAAAAGGTATAATTAGTGTATATCACATACTTATGTATTTTTGATTTTAATCTTAGTTAAAGTAAGTACCATTAACAACAAAAATAGCTATATTGTAGTTTTCACAATAAATATCAGACTAGCTTTAAGATGTAGGTACATAAGCTGTTAATAGTTTAATTATTATAGTAAAAATATTCTTACATAACTTTGCTTTTATTAAATTCTAATTAACAAATTATTTTGATTGTAGCCCGTTGTTGACTTTTTTCATATATTGCCTTAAATCAATTCGTTGCAATAAGAACATTTATTTAATTATTACTACTCAAATTAGAATATTAATTACCTAATAAACAAACTATAGAACCACTTAGTTAAAAACGTATTTCTACAAGTATTTACTGAATCTATAAAAGAAAAATAATACTCAATGAAATATAATTTCCTTTAAGTTAACACACTTATAAGTATTTTCAACATTGGGTAATATTCTAAAAACTAATCATAACTTCTTCTGAGTTAAAATATAAATAAGTTAATATTTTCAGCAAAAAAATTAATATTATAAAAAACCAAAACTATCTTCTTCAAAGTCATAAATAAACTAAAGATAAACAAAATGTGTAATTAGCATTTGTGAAAAATAAAGAAGACAAACAATTATTGAATGCTTTTAAGAAATAAAATTTGGTTAAATTTAAGTGCTAAGCCTAAATCGCGCTATCAACATTCCGAATCACAAACGGTATATATAGAACTTCTCCGATCTATCACGCGGAGTGTTGGCTGCTCCCCGGGCAGAACACCTTGACTGGCGGTAGATCTCCCCTTTTCCTTCCACGGCCATAGAGTTAACACTCCGACGTGATCTAAACACGCAACCAACAACCTTTGGAAACTTCAAGCTTCATCATCGTCATAGAATACCCCATCCATTCGCTCCCGAGCAGATATCGTCTGCAGTCTTCTTATCCTGCAAGCCATTTAGCTTCACAAGGTTAATCGCAGTACTGAAATAATAATGCTTCCTGTTCCTTCAAGCTACTCTCTGCGCTATACAGTGTTCGGCACGGCTCTGAGCCTTACTGCTCGCCTCTGTTTCACGGCACTCTCGCAGATTACTTGCCTTCTTCTCGACTCACCGCAGACTACAAGGCAATCTCCTGGCACTTGCACATTCGTCAGCAACGAGGCTGCACTATCGACCTCCGGTCTGAGCAGGGGAGTGATGTAGCGGCGCTGTCGTCGTGCCACTAGCGAAAACACACCAAAGCCTAAATCGCGCTATCAACATTCCGAATCATAAACGGCATATATAGAACTTCTCCGAACTATCACACGGAGTGTTTGGCTGCTCCCCGGGCAGAAACACCTTGCCTGGCGGGAGATCTCCCCTTTTCCTTCCACGGCCACAGTGGTCGATGGTACAGTCTAGTTGTCGACAATCAACTGGTGATGTTGAAGAAAATCAGCTCCGATGATTGGTTTGCTGACTTTAGCGACAATAAATCTCCATTTGAATGGTCGGCGTAGGTTTAAATCCAGCTCCATTGTTTTTTCTCCATATGTAGGAATCACCGTATTGTTTGCTACGTTACGTATACCTAGAAGGAAGATCCCGTTATGAACACCGAGAAGGAAGACCCCGTTACGAACACCGAGAAGGAAAAGGGGAGATCTCCCGCCAGGCAATGTGTTCTGCCCAGGGAGCAGCCAACACTCCGTGTGATAGTTCGGAGAAGTTCTATATGTACCGTTTATGATTCGGAATGTTGATAGCGCGATTTAGGCTTTGGTGTGTTTTCACTTGTGGCGCGACGACAGCGCCGCTACAGTGTCATTTGGTCGTTTCACTACGGCGGGAACACAAAGCACGCACACAACCAATGAATTTCCGCTCTTAGGCCGGCGATATACATACGAAATTCCACTCGAATGAACGGGTCAGCCACACACATACGGAATCCCGTATTGTCCGTAAAATTTCGAACGGAAGAATACCGTAGGTGTGTGACAAGTCATTGATTTTTATATGGACTTGCTGGAATCCCGAATCAGAATTCCGAAACAGAATCCCGAAACGGAATTCCATATGTATGTGTCATTTACTTTTTCACTGGCTTGCTCGATTCGTTCATGTACAGCCAGCCCAAACTCGAGTGGGAGAACCAACGAGCGATGCGTCAGCTCAACTTGAGTCAATTCGAGTTGCTAACTCGAGTTGACTCAAGTTCGCTTATTAAAACCCACAGAGTACTTTTTGTATACCTGATTAAAATCTTCCCTATATAAAAAGTACTCTGTGTTAAAAACAGTTAAAACTTTATGAGTGATGAGTGATTTTATGGTTTTAAAAGTACAGAAATGTTTAACCAATAGTCAGTAATCTATGTGTTTAACGATAACATGTTATTATTTACCATCATAGATAAATAAATATGTAGCAAGTTTACAATTTGTGGTTGTACTTTATTTAAACCATATATAAATAAAAAATATGAACGAAGTCCCTTATAGAATTTTGAAATAATCATGAGGTGGTTAACTCTACGTAAACTAATATTATTACTTTTTTCTTTTTTTATTATTTATTATTTAATGTTTTGTATAAGAAAGAATAATTCAAATAATATAAAGAGCTATACGAATACTCGAAATACGTAAGTAATTATTTCAAGCGAATTTATATATATTTTTAATTGCTAGGTCTTATGGTATAACTTATTGCTAAGTTAAACTAAAATCATTTTATATAATTTTTCTTACAGAGATTCAATTGCCAACAGTAATAATTTGACAAACAAGATAATTTTGACTTTTGTTGCGTGTGAATCAAGATTTATAGAATCTTTGAATGTAATAAAATCGGTGCTCCTTTTTACAAAAACTCCCGTATACTTTGTTATATTTGCTGATGGGTATCTAATAGATTCGTTTAACAACACTTTAAGCAAATGGAAATATTTAACCAGGAATCAGCTAGATTTTGAGCTTCAACTAATAACATTCCCAGAAGCTCATGAAGAAGAATGGATGAGCTTATTTAGTAAGTGTGCTGCACAAAGGTTATTCATACCAGTAAGTATAATAGTCATTTGTTTTTTTTTCACAATCTCCAAGTAAGCCCATAAACATTATGGGCTTACTTGGAGATTATGAATGAAGTATGCTTCAAATTTAATTAGATAATCTATATTCTTATAAAAGCTTAGATTTGTACTTGCCGCGTGTAGCATTGCTATAGTTAATAAGATGTTTTTAGGTTTTGAAATTGATTACTTGGTAATGCAGTCACTAAGAATTGTGTTTTAACTCTATTGCTATTGGACAATATGCCTTTGAGACGTTATTCGTCATCGGTTGACTTAATAAACTGAAATATTCTTATAGGCACATCGCCAACAATGAGCGCCGTTGGTGTGAGTTAAACGAACAACAAATTGTTATTCTGGATTTTGATATTTGTCCTTGTGCAATATATTTTGTATGTAATTAAACACTTTCATGATATAGTAAAATTCCAGTAAAACTATAGACGTCAGTTATTTGCATACAGGGTGGTTACGGATTGGTGCAGGAGAAGCCTACCTACCCTTCCCACCTTGTGGAAATCTATAGCTTATGAGTGATATTTTTTTGTTATATCAACCTTACCTTTTACAAAGTAATATTGACCCAAAGTTACTTCTGCAACTGCTTCGGCACTGCGGTAAGTGCAGACCCTTCATCCATGCGTAGCAAATTGCAGGCACCCATGCTTACCTCTAAAGCTTTAGCTCACACGGGTGCTTACAATTTGCTATGGCGGGCAGTGGCTGGCTGCTCTCCCTCCGCACCTATGGCTTTACAAAAACAATGGGGGTAGGGCAAACAATACTACGTTGGGTTGGGGCGTGCTGATTCGGTTTTAGAACAGATTCGAACAATCTTATCTATAAAGTCAGGTTGCCCTAAACTCTGCTATAATAGTGTTAAATGAAACAATGTAATGTGAATTGTTGTAATTTTGTTTTCTGTAAAACCTCTTGACAGCTCTCCACTGTGACTCAATTTATTTGTTATGAGTCCCGTCTTCTTCATAATACTAGACCAAATTGACATATTTGTGTTTCATTATAAGCAACTTTAGTGAAATTTATTTTTATCGTAATTAATTTTAAACACATTCCCGACATCTAAAACTAGTGTAATAGGTTCAAACGTCATACGCAAAATACGCGCTTAGACGTGAAGTTGCGGAAAACAGCCCGTCGTAAACTAAACTAGGTTCAAGTTTAACCTTAGCAAGCCTCCTAAACTAAAAACATTATTAAAATCAAGTACCGCTAATAAAATAATCTATAGCCAACTCAAAATTCCTATTGTGGGAGTAAGATTAAATAAAAACTAAACTAAAGCAAATTGTACAATATTCTGTGATTCTTGAAATTATGTTTTCATTTTATTCTTTGTTCTGGCTCTAGAATCAGAATTGCTAATAGCTAATCCCTCTTTATTGCTCCTTTTCTCACAAATTGTTAGTTTATTTACTTTTTTATGTACTGTTTGGTATTCATTAAAATGATGCAAGAGTCAAAATAATATAGCTAAAATTTTTAACTCTTATGAGTGTGGGAAATGACAAACATTAAACCTAAAAGTACCACAAAGACAGTGGCGAAGCTTCCATTAAAGCCGAAAAGCCGGGCTTGCCTTATGAAACCTGAATCAATCAATAATATCAATCAATAATATCAACTAATAAAATAACTCGTAAAATGTTTCAAGCTATTTCAAATTTCCGATCACACGGTCACATGTCGACCGATGACCTCGTATTGCCTTAGCGATACTGCTGCTGTCATAAAAAATGAGTTTTAATAGAGCTAATAGTTGTCTCCCTCGCTCGCATGGGCTTTTTACGGGGCTTTCGAGAAGACGATTGCTCTCTTTCTAACCTATGGCAAAATATTCTATAATGAAATATAACTACGATTGTATAAATTAGTAGAAATTAGGATAGAGATTTAAAGCCAGGCTTTTGGGAATAAATTTGTTAAAAGCGGAGGCGCGCGGGCAATACGTTTACAAGTTCATTTCACGTTTCAATGTTTATTTACTCTGTGTGCTTATCTTAAGCGATTTAATATTACGAGTTCAAAATGTGTGCTTTTTTAAAGATTTTTAATGAAAATGGAGGATAATAGTGTTCCTTGTGATGAATTGAAGTGTGTTATAGTGATAATCAGAGAGGAAATCTTTAAACTTTGTTGAGATAATACACAAGGTTAAGAGTGTATTTCAGACTTATCAATTATCGCAATTAAAAACAGTTATTGGTACAATTAAAATGTTCACCAACATTTTACGTGGACATAATTAAATCTTTCCATAAGAAAGCGAGACGATTCCACTTATCTTATCTTATCTCTTATCCATTAGAATGTAAATAATTTGTTTTTTTTTTTTTAATTTTGTACATAGTTTGTTTGTACTTTGTTCTAATGTTTTACTTTTGTTCATGTATTGTATTGGATGTAAATATTTTTTTCTTTCGCTTAAACAAACCCAAACGGCTTTCTTCAAAGCCACCGAAGCTATGCAATGTGGAATGCCTTCTGTGTGCTTTGTTAAACACGTCCTTGACGGCACTGAATATGAAACTGAAGCGTGGAGGCAGATCAAGATTGGTGTATTTTTATAAAACTGCTAAAAACAACAATCTATATTTTTATCAATTTATATCTTGGGCTTGCCCTAGTTTGGAGCTCTAGCTTCGCCACTGCACAAAGAAATTAACAATTTGCATGTAAATTTCTATGTAATGTATATGTAAATCTGTATGTGTCAGTTTAACCTTTTGAGCGCTAAAGTCACCTATATTAGACCAGCACTTGCGGGTCCTGTGCGCCAACGACATCTATAGTCGACAAAGAACCCGGTCCACAAAAATATGAAATATAGATACAGAAAGTTATTACTGGTATTTTAATTCTACATACGTCAATGAAAAAAAAATTCTAGAATATCCCAGCAATGTGTAAGTTTAAAAAACAAGTCTCTTATAGCCACAAGTACTCAGAAACATTGAACTAAAAATATGGTTTTTTATCCAAGCAAATACTATGTATACCAGCATGCTAGTCATTTATGGTTGACCGCTAGTGTTGTAATGCCTTAGGCTTAGATTTATTGAAAACTATTCGAAATTAAACGCATACGTATTATTTTTTAAATTACTATTGATCTTTGAATAAAACAAAAGATAAGAAATATAAAACTATCATCAGCTACATGAATAAAAGAAAATTTCATCAAATCAATTTCGCATAATAAATCTAACATCTCATCTCTGGTGCATCCTTAGCGCGTCATCAATTATCAGTTCATTGGGCGCCGTGGTCAAGGATAGGCGACACTGATGACGTCATAAACGAATAGCGGGAAAGGTAGTGCGGTGCAACATGAACATTCTGTTTTCGTGGTTAAAATAATTCTCTTCATGTTTATATAATTTTATATTGCAACTAGTATTATACGTGGTAGAGCCATGCTGCAGTTATATTTGTAGTATAGTTGTAGCACGAATGGGTCGGCTCGAGCGGGGAAGGACTACACTCTCACAGAATACCAGCATAAAATAGTAGCTTAATGCTGCTGTGTTTCGTATGTTGAGTGTAGAAAACCGGAGACCCTTCTTACTGGAAACGAGGCATTCCATCTTAGTCCTCATGGGTGACGCATCTGCATTTTGATTCGTAATCGAGGATAGATGTAGATTTCTATGGGCTACAGCAACCACTTTCCTACAGCAGCAACACCTTCAGGTGGACTGTGTGCTCGTTTGTCACCCTATCCTATAAAAAATAGATTTTTTTTTTTCAAAAAAGCGAATTGTAATATTCTTTATGGAAATAAATGTCTTAAACCATATTTCAGCATAACCCTTCTGAAAAGTAGTAGTACAATTTTTTACAAATTATAAATCAACCTAAGGAAAAAGCATTAAGGCTTAAAATAGTATATCGACTTGCTAACTTTTGGCATTACAATCGTTCCGCATAGTATTGTGAGTAGACTAAAAATCGATCTATACTAGAATTATTTTGTCCGTGCAGTTTGGGTCATAAATCTCTTTTGTGGTGATGTTCGTTCTACATAAGTGTGCATAAATGGCTATTATTGGACAAAATAATTTTACTATAACTATAAAGCGTTAAGATCTAAAATATCGTGTCGACTTAGTACTAAGCGGCTCTCTTGTTCTCGGCGGTGGGCGACGTTCTCTTTTTTAACTACGAGTAACGCGAAAGTGTTACGATAAGTGCTCGTAACACTTTCGCGTCTTACAGCATAGCCGTACAAGAGTTACCTACATAAATAAAAAGTAGATTATTTACGGAAATTTCCACGTAGAAATAAAAATATGAACATTTATACCTTTCTTACCTATTCATACCCAACTATTTTATAGATACCCAAATAATAATAATAATAAAGACACTAACATCCATTTTGAGCGCAAGAATCACTCGTCACCTGGACTCAAGTCAGGTGATGTCGCGTGCTCAAAATCGATGTCGGGGCGGTGGTCGTGGAACCAAGGAACCAATCCTTATTGACGCGGTCATTGGCAAAGTGGTGAAACGCAACCGTCGGAACTTCTCCGCCACCTGGATAGACTACAGAAAGGCATTCGACCCGTTTCCCCATACATGGCTAAAGAGGGTCCTCGAACTGTACAAGATTGACTGTACAGTTAGAGACTTCCTCGAGCAATGTATGGGGCAGTGGAGTACGATCCTTTGTCATCTGGGTGAGCGGATAACGGCTGCGGAAAGCCGCATAAGAATAAGAAGGGGTATCTTCCAGGGCGATTGTCTGAGTCCAATCTGGTTCTGCCGTCTCTTTGAACCCTCTCAGTACATTACTGGAGGGCTCCGGGAGGGGAAAGGAGGGCTTCGGAAAGGAGGTACAAAAGTGACCCACGTTTTCTATATGGATGACCTCAAGTTATTCGCCTCCAGTCGCTCCCATCTTATGGAATTGCAAAATATCACTTGTGAATTTAGCAGTTCTATTGTAATGGAGCTGGGAACGAATAAGTGTGCGGTCCACTATGTTAAAAATGGAAGGGTTGCTAACTCTGAGGGCATAGACTTATCTATGCCCGTCAATTTAAGGACCCTTTCCAAGGCTGAAACATACCGATACCTGGGTATGTCACAGAACATCGGTATCGATGAGGTTGGTATGAAAAAGTCTGTTTGCGGCGTATTTTATGCACGCTTGACCAAAGTGCTTAACAGCCTTTTGTCCGGTGTGAATAAGACACAAGCATATAACGGTAGGATCATACCTGTACTCATGTATACCTTTGGCATACTTAGGTGGACTCAGACTGAACTTAACGCCCTGGGTAGAAAAATCCGCACTACTATGACGTCCCATAGGATGGATCACTTGAGATCTTCGATTATGAGGCTGTACTTGCCGCGGAAATATGGTGGGCGTGGCGTTTTTGTTTCTGTTTCCCGGTATTGTCAGGTGTTTAAGCTCTATGACTTTCTTAGTTTCGGTGACCTCTTCGGTGAAACCGAGGGTTTTGTCTGTGCGATACAGGATCAGGTTATTAAGACCAACAACTATCGGAGATACATCCTAAAGGATGGCACCGTCGACATCTGTCGAGCTTGTCGCCATCCCGGTGAGTCACTTAGGCATCTCATCTCCGGTTGTTCGGCGCTTTATAACTCGAGTACTTGCACAGGCACAACCTAGTAGCCAGAATTCTACACCAGGAGCTCGCTCTAAAATACGGTCTCGTGGACCGGAAACTGCCGTATTACAAGTACTTGCCGGAAGCCGTGCTCGAAAATGACCGCGCCAGGCTCTACTGGGACCGGGCCATCGTCACAGACAGGACTATTCTTGCGAATAAGCCTGATATTGTGCTGATGGACCGGGCACAGTCAACGATAGTTTTGCTCGACATCACTATTCCGTATGACGAGAACCTCGTGAAAGCCGAAACAGATAAGCGAACAAAATATCTGGACCACGAGGTGACCGACATGTGGGGTGGACTGTCGACCGAAATTATACCTGTAGTCGTTTCTGAAAACGGGCTAATCCCAGTCAGCCTCTCGGGTCATCTGATGCGAATGGGACTCCGTGACGGACTGCTCCAGGCTCAAATGCAGAAGGCGGTGCTCCTCCTCGCTCCTGCCCGCATTGTCCGCCGGTTTCTTTCCCTTTCCGGCTAACCCTCGGCCGTTTGGTCTCCCCTGCCGAGGGCTTCCATCTGGTTGGGCTTTTATTTATTTATGCATTTTTTTATGTATTTATTTTATTTTATTGTTATTTATGTATATTTATCATTTTCGTTCGCAATTATATATTTATAGAACCCAACCAGATGAGAAAACTATATAGATACCCCAAAATAATAATAATAATAATTTATAAGAAACTGTCACTGTTATTAAAATAAATAACTTTTTATTTAACATAAGTGGGTGAATTTTCACATATACTCTCACGCTTGTCACCCAGACGGGTAGGCACTGACTATAGACTTTAATTTGGCTTGATTCTGACACGCTCCCCTCGATTCCTTTACATCCATATTATATCTTTGCATACATGCTCTATGATTATGGGTACTCTTAATTTAGTCCATCTTCAATATTTCACCAATTTGGTTGATAAACTTCCTTGCTGACTCTGACACTCATTTCTGCAGTATAAATTTGCTTTGTCCATTGAGCTATTATGTACTACGTACTAGAGGCGACACTGCATTCAGCTACTCTGTTCCATTCAACTGCGGTGCATACACCGCACTTTAATCAGTCACTGGCTAGGCGCTTGTAGAGTTGTCACGTGTTGTGTTGATTTAAAAAAAATCTCTTGATAAAAATATGCCGTCGTGTGTAATTAGATATTGCACAAATAATTCAAGAAATGTCAGTAAAAACCTAGTAATTACTTTTCATCGGTTAATAAGATCCTTAATCAATAAAAAAAGTATTAAGAATTAATAATAAAACAAATTATTCCTAAGACGCCATCTCGTGTCATGAAATATAGATTATGAAATTAATATGTTCAGATGCGACATTTCTGTAGGTACTTAACTATAGGACGAATATATTATTATACACATTTTTTTGTAGAAACATATATAAGTTATTATAATTGGTCTAAATTTTTTCATTTTTAAATCTGATTATTATTCTTTTATTTTATTTTTAAGTTTCCACATCAAAGTGGAATAAATTCGTCCATTTTTAACTCTCGCGTGCCCAATATTTAATGAACGAATCTATTCTAATTTAAATAAATATATTTGTAATTTAAATGTTATGTTAATAAGTTTTGTTAAACATACATTCAGTATGTTTTTTTTATATTTGACATATACCTTTTAAAATATTCACATAAAAATATCATTGAAATAAAATTGTGATATAATATTATGTAATATTATATTAAAAAAGCAAATATAATATACAAAATAAATGACAAAATTTAAATATTGTTCTCGATAAAATTTACCTATTTAACTATAGAATCTACTATTACCCACGGGTCATTCTATCTATGTTTATTCTATGATAAAAAAACAACCTTGCGAACACAGAGTAGCGCACATTTTTTGTTTGAGATAGCTGTTCTAGTACGTAAGTACATATTACTTCAATGGCTTTGTCACACTTTTCTCACTCATTGTTTATACATCTCAAAAACATCAAAGCATTTCTTTCATAATCCTGGTCATAACGTCTTCTAAACTGCACTTTTCTAATTTTATGTAAATGTTCACCCTATCATTTAGACACACCTAAACATACTTCTTAATGATGGCATTTTTACAACATTAAATACGAGGTGTGTTCAAAAAGTAAGGTGACTTTATATTTTTATGAAAAACTATTTATTTATTCATCAATATTTATGTTGCCCCCTTCAAAGTAATCCCCCTCAGATATAATACACTTGTGCCAACGCTTTTTCCAATCGTCAAAGCATTTCTGATAATCACTTTCAGGTATAGCCCTCAGCTCTTTCAGCGATGCAGTTTTTATCTCTTCAATCGTTGCAAATCTTCGTCCTTTCATAGGTCTCTTCAGTTTTGGGAACAGGAAAAAGTCACATGGGGCCAAATCCGGTGAATATGGTGGCTGAGGCATGATTGTAGTGTTGTTTTTGGTCAAAAAACCTCTCACAAGCAAAAAGCGAAATTGAGCAATTTTGGAACAAATTTCGCTGACACACGTTTCATGCCCAAAATATCCGAAAAAATTTCATGGCAAGAGCCAACCGATATGCCAACTCCTCCGCAACTTCTCTGATAGTGATTCGACGATTTTCCAAAACAATTTTCTTCACTATTTCAACGTTTTCATCGGTTGTTGACGTGCTGGGGCGTCCAGAGCGAGGTTTGTCATTGGCATCTTCTCGGCCATTTTGAAAGAGCTTGTACAACTTATAAACGTTTTTTTTACTAAGAGTAGACTCACCGTATGCCACTGTCAACATTTCAAGTGTTTTGGAGCACGTAATTCCATTTTTTACACAAAATTTGATGCAAATTCTTTGATCCATTTTTTTGATAGAAGAAAATCGCCGAGCACACCAAAGTACGTCTGACCTTTGTAACTGTCAAAAATAAACTAAACATGCTATACACTTCAAACTTGAAACATATGCTCAGGACATGTGTACCAACGCAACAAAATACAAAAATCGAAAATCGAATGTGCGTTGCCCGCGAAATTCAAAAAAGTCACCTTACTTTTTGAACACACCTCGTAAAATGTCATGTTTCTTTTGCCATACTTACCCAACTATTTTTAGCCAAGATGGGTAAGGATGATGTATATAAAATCTAATCCTGATATTTTATATTGTTTTAGAAACTACTTCCTCATATAGACACAATGATATATGTAGACATAGATACTTTGTTTTTGGGACCAGTCGATGAGCTATGGAATGTTTTTAAACATTTTAATAGTTCTCAGATATTAGCTATGGCCCACGAAGTTGATAACCCTAATGTATCCTGGTACCCAAGGTTTGCGAAGCATCCTTTCTATGGAAAATATGGTAAGTAACATAACAAATCCTTTAATTTGATAATAAACAGTTTTTATGTACCTACAGAAGGAAAACTTTACAAAGCAATGATGATACAGTACGGCGATTGTTATAGTTTTTATTTTTATTTGGTTCAAATGCATATTGATGTTTGAAAAGGCGAATTAGTGGGTCAAATTTGACCGTAACACTCAAAAGAAGAAAGGAAACTTTAAAAACTTAAACTAAACAATATAAACAATTAATTAACTAGTATTTACTAAGGTTTTATTTTATTTTAGAATAGAATGTAGGTGCCGTGATATGGCTAGATAAGAATAAAACAGATACGGTTTTTTTACAGGCTTAAACTCTGGTGTTATGCTAATGAACTTAACAAGAATGAGAGATTTTGGATGGGTTGAATATGTTACTCCTATTATGTTGAAATGGAAATTGTATATACCTTGGGGAGATCAGGTAATTTTAGACTAGGCTGGAGTATAAAAATCTGTACCTTTGAACGTTAATGACGGACGAACCGAATTTGATGATTCATTTATTTATTATATTTGCCTAGTTTTTGAGTTATCCTTAATAATGCGTATTTAATTGACTTCGACTACATCAATGATGTTCTTAATTTATTTATACTGTAGCCGGTTGTACAAAATGTTTAATGTTCTTACTTGTTTTTTATATGTGTTTATATTTTATACGTGGTAGAGACTTGCTGCAGTTATATTATGGGTGAAGTACAAATGGGTCGGCTCGGTCGAGAAAGGACTACGCTTTCACAGAATACCAGCGTAAAATAGCAGTTCAAAGCTGCTGTGTTTCGTATGGTGAGTGTTGAGAATCAGAGACCCTTTTTACTGGATACGAGGTATTCCATCATAGTTGTCAGGGGTAGCGAAGCATCTCCATTTTGATTCTTAATCGAGGTCAGATCTAGATGTCTATGGGCCATAGCATCCACTTACCATCTAGTACTGTTACTGTGTACTCGTTTGTCACACTTATTCTATATAAAAAAAACTGTAGCATATACAATTGTTAGTGCTGCGATATAAATTACCATATTATACGTAATATTGATAGTTCAGGATGTAAACTTACCATTAGCTTTACCTACATCGTAGGTATGTTTTGAAATTTGAAATTCATTACAATCTAGACTACATCCATTGAAATATTTTCATGTGGTACCAGGAAAAGGATTTCGTCACCAGTGTTATTCGTGAGTTTAAAGTCAAGGTCATACGAACTATCGTCTCAAAAGAGCAAATTACCAATATAATTTTATTAGTAGTGAGATCTGATCACCATGAATTTCATTTCAATAAACATATGGATTTTTATTCGTATAATCCGACATTAAAACAGTATTAAATAATTGTCGATTTAATAAAGTAGATACCGAACTCAAAATATATATTTAAAAAGGTCCTGTGATCCTTTTCCAAGTTTTGAATTAAACTCGGGGACAAACTCGTCAAAAATAAATGATCGCTTTTAGTTGAAATATATTATCGTATTTCTAGCGAGTGACCGTGTTGTTGCTTGCAAATGATTTTAGAGTAGTGAGGTACACTACATACATACATGTATGTACTTATAATAAGTTAAGTAAGGTTTCGGAGTCATCACTTGGAATGACTTTAAGTTCTGTCTATACCATTGTTTTTGGTTTTACGCTACAGCCACATTGTCGCAATAAATCTTCTTTCGACCGAGAGGTCAATCAACGGATTCAACTCAGCTGGGCAGCGTTCGGGAAATTACTAGGGATGGGCCGAATATGGATTTCACCGAATACGAATATTCGGTTAAATTTTTACCGAACCGAATATTCGGCCGAACATTATTCGGCAGGATAACCTCGAGACTTAACCAATTTATGTCGAAACTTGTTACCGTAAAGCACACGGGATTAGTGCCGGACCCTGCCTCTCGCTTCCCGCCACACCTGACATGTTATTGCATTATCTAGTACTGAGCAAATTGCCGGCATATGCTTATGTTTTGAATATTCTTGTGATAAAAATGTATTTCGTTGTTTTATTCTTAATTAAAGTTAAAGTTATAGCCTATATACGTCCCACTCCTGGTCACAGGCCTCCGCTCATTTCTGAGAGGGTTATAGGGCAAGGAATTGTCCACCGCACTGCAACAATATGCTTGTTGACGAACTTTACATGTCTTCGAAATAATTTTTTTCTTATTTCTCAGACATGCAGGTTTCCTCACGATGTTTTCAATTAATAATTTCTTTGGTGCCAGCAGTGATTGAACTCGGTTTAATCGTGCACTGAAATTTACAGCGAGCGCTAACCATCTGAGCTACCATGGCTCTTTATTCTAGTGAATAAGGTAAAGAGCCGTAAGAATTTTATTCTTAGTGAAAATTGATAATTATATGATAAAAATGAACGGCAGGAGATTTACTATTTGGACTTATTTTAGAGAAACTGACGACCAAAGTAAAGTGAAATGTACTAATGTAATTTAATGTTTCTTTGTTTGATTCTAAAAACATTTAATCAAGTTTCTATTTGCCATAATCGGAAATAAATCCACAGTGCCTCACAAACATAAATGTATAGATTTATGCATTTGAGGCAATCTTAGAGTAAGTAGATTTAACCCATAAATAAAATATACTTTCAACAGTAAAGTACATCGCATTACTTAATTCGTACACTTCAATACATTGGACACTACGTAAATGTTCGGTTCGAATGTTCGGTCATTTAGCCGAATATTCGGCCGAATACCGAATATTCGGTAAACCTGCCGAATATACCGAATACCGAATATAAAACGAATATTCGGCCCATCTCTAGAAATTACGACACATCTTCTCGTCAGGTATACCTCAAAACCTGAAAACTAAGTTGTACAACCAATGCTTGTTGCCAGTGATGATCTACGGAACCGAGACGTGGTCCTTCACTGCTGACCGTATGAAGACGCTCAAAGTCGCCGAGCGAGTTATGGAGAGGGCTATGCTCGGAGTTTCTCTGCGTGATAAATTCAGAAATGAGGATATCCGCAGTAGAACTAAAGTGACCGACATAGCTCAACGGATTAGTAAGCTGAAGTGGAAATGGGCCGGCCATATAGCTCGAAGAACCGATAACCGTTGGGGAAAAAAGGTTCTCGAGTGCCAGCCTCGTACCGGTAGTCGAAGTGTAGGGCGACCCCCCACTAGATGGAGTGACGACCTTGTAAGACATGCAGGTGGCTCAGAACCATGCTTTGTGGCATACCTTGGAGGAGGCCTATGTTCAGCAGTGGACTTGTGAAGGACTGTAATAATGATGATGATGAATAAATCTTCGTGTTCGATCTACTACAACGTTTACATAATGACGAGCACAGACGAGTAGGCACGAGTTCAACGGGGGTTCCAGGTAACAACACGAGAGGCATGTAAACGCTTTTTTCAAATGTTCTCGTTACTCGGCCTGAATGTTTGCCTGTTCTCCACTCAATGTTGGTTTTTGACCCGAGTATAAGGAATGCTTGTGTGTTGCTTGACCTGTGAACTTTGTTGCAGGTGGTTATTATTTTTCTTATAAAATGATCACAGTACGAATTCGGGTAAAGAATATACTGTTTTTATAGAACTTTATCAAAGAGAAACCGTGATATGGGGTCCTAGAAAATAAAATCCGTATTAAATGTATGAAAATAAATATATCATCATCATCATTCACCCTTCACAAGTTTGGAATGCCACAAAGTACGGTCCTAAGCCATCTGCATGCATCGATATCCTGCATGTCTTGCCAGGTCGTCATTTCATTTAGCGGGAGGGGGGGGGGAGTTGCCCTACACACACCAATATTTTTTTAATTCTATAAAAATCAATAAGACATAAAGTCGTTTATTCAAGTAGTCTCGACTGCTCGACGTGTGTAGCCAATAGTACGAACTTTGTCGTGATAAAACGCTTTCATGTGCAGATATTTACCTAAAGCCGCGCGAAGGACATTCGAGTTCGCCTACATCACGGATTCCCAAACTATAAGGCAAGCGACCCCTTATCCAAAATGAACCTCAGACCCCCATAGCCAAATTACTTTAAAGATCATAACTCTAGTTTTTATCTATTGATACAAAAGCAAAAGACTTACCTAGCTTTGTTTAAAAACTTTGCGGTTGGTTAAGTTAGTAAACTTGACATCATTTTCTCATCAAAATTTAACAAAATAAATAGACACAAAATTCAGTAAATATCAAGTGTAATTAATAATTATTATTAATGCAAATTAAAAAAAAGTTAAAAGTACAACAATGATACTTCCTACTAAAATATTAGTCATTTTTATAACAAGTTGGTACACGCAACACAACTTATAGTATTTTGAAAGTTTCAAATAAGAGCTTGTGTTAATTAATAGGGGTCGATTTTTAGTCCTCGTCGACCCCCCAAAATCAGTTTTCGTTTATATCGAAACTTGGATTTCGATTGGAATCCCTGGCCTAAATGATTCGCGGTATGACGAATTTTTTGTCCTGACGTGTCGCAACAACGCAAATCTTCGGCTTATCGCGACAATGGGGCCGTAGTATCAGGGACAATTTATTGCATTACCGTGTAGTGGTAGTATAACAATATCTTCTACCCCATATCGTTCCGTCCCGTGGGTGTCATAAGAGTCGACAGAGGTAAATACGAGACAGGAGATGTGCGACAACATCTTCATTAAGCAACTTTAAAAAAACATGTGTAGTTCACACGCGGTAGAAGTGTCCTTCAGAAAAAGAGATGAGATAATAAAATCAAACACTGTGTACTGTACTCTATCTCATTCTATCACAGGTTTAATTTTATGGATATATATGTTTCTCTTTTTAGTGTCGCTTCATCTAATTTCAAATCACAACGATTTTAAAGAAGTTTTCACATCAAAAATCCGACCCGCCTGCCAAGCGTAGGGCAACTACAGCAGAATCTCACTATGGGGCAATCTGAGGGTAGATCTACATTCAGCCGTGGACTTTGATGGGCTGTAATTAATAAATGAATGTATCTGTGTTTAATACAGGATATAATAAACATAATATTACATTACCACGAGCGAGCAGTGTACGTTTTATCGTGCCGCTACAATTACCGCTCTGATCAGTGCATGTATGGCGACGCTTGCTCCGACGCGACAGAACAGGGCGTCTTCGTGCTTCACGGTAGTCGGAAAATTTTTCACAATGACAAACAACCCGCTTTTAAAGTGAGTACGTACAACTATTATTCTATTAATAATCATTATTTGATTATCCCTATTAGGAATTTTAATTGAATTTGTTAACTACAAAAACACTAAATAATTAGTCTTTAAATACGAAATTGCGGTTCTGCACTACTGGCCATTTTAAATTTTGCTGCAGATGTGTTCTGTGAAGAACTGAACACAATAATGGAGAAGCTCGCACCGTCGCACGTCTCCAACCGGCTTTGGTAAATCGCTCGTCAGTTCGTAGTTCATATAAATTATAGATACTATAGGAATTTAAATATATTTTAAATATCTGGTAAAAGTAAAAAATGACTCAATAAGAATTTATCTATATTGAATAAAAAATATTCTAATAAAGTATTTTGTTGAATGTAGTATTTAGATAATAAAGTATACAGACATAATTTTGATTACTTTCGAGTTTTTTATTCGTGATCGATGACTTTTGACGAAAGTATTATTTGGTCTGAATTTCTAAAAACTTTTTGAAACTATTTTACCTTACTTGCTATTTTTAAGATCAAACATGTATTCAACTGTAATGTTTAGCACTATTTGTCCTTTTAGAGTAGTAAAAATAATCGATAGTGGTAAAAATATGAAAGATATTTTTACCTTCACTAAAAGGCACTTGTCCCACCGCCACCGATCAACGTGAAGGGAGCAGAGCTAGAAACTAGATAGGAGTTGGCGAGCAGAGAGAAGCGAGTGTGTAGTTCCGATAGTTTTGTCGCTATGCTATAAGTTAATGCACTCAGATCTGCACTCTAGAGTAAAATGACGGTGGTGACGGACGCTGGTTGGTCACTCTGCGTGAGTTATGGCTGACAAGCGAACACCGCTGAGCGAGTTTTATTTTTAAAAGCTCTTGTCGCTGCGCCAAACGCGTTTAAAAAAGAAAGAAAGAAAGAAACTAGTGGAGAGTTCTCGCCGGCTCTGTGAGCAGCCAGCGATTAACTATTAACATATTATCTCTTTTAATGACAAGGGTTCTATAGGTATCTATTTATGTAGTGTCGAAGTAAGGAGTACAGACAGTGTATTAAAAAGTGTCCATAAAAACCATTAAATAAGGGTGGTGACACTATAACTACGGGGTAAATTTTAAAGAACGCACCGAAAAACATTAGTGGGATTAGACGACTTTTTCAAGGTTATATTTACTAAATAAAATTATTTTAGATTTTAGAGCTACTGAGCAGTTTAGCAGCACACTTCAAACCGTCGACAACTGCTAAGTTCATTTCATCCCAGTAGCTACTCCAGCGCTGTTGTAGAGAGTTTTTGACAGTTTTGAACTGTTATTTACTGCTTACAGATGGTCACTTTTTCAAATATTCTACTATGGGAGTTGGTGCTCCTTACTTCTACACTCCATATATCTATTGTCCGTTACTTGAGGGAGAAAATAGGCTATAGCTAAATGCGTTGGCGATAGGACAAGTGCCTAACGTTAGAGTTTTTAAATATATTTTATATTTTCTGGTCTTTTTTGACTCAATTTGAATAAATAAATCCATCAACTTTTCCAGGCAATGTACCGAGCTATCAATGAGTATGAGATTGGCACAGATCCTACGAAAGTTTTGGTTAATATGGAGAAATATTTGACGGAGGCGTCGCCATCTAATTGTGGAAATTTGAAGGAAGCGTTTTTAAAATTACCAGTCGAAACAATACAAAGTTTGTATGCTAGGCCTAATAGATAGTTAAGTGATGATCAAAATGTATTTTGCTAGTTTTTTTAAAATACAAAATACTTTTGAAGTAAATTCCGATACTGTAAATCTACGGGTTCTCAATCTTTTTCGCTAGCAACCAAACGCGATATAATGATAAAATCATTTTATATATATATACGGTGTAATATATACACACGGTGTATAAAAAAATTATACACGTGTAAATTGAAGGCGTAGATCATCGGTGGCTAGGGGTTGGAGGACCTCAGCACCTATCGATTTAATCCCTCCGTAGGTACGGTATTCAGTGTGATATTCAGTGATTCAAAAGTCGTTTGGATTTTAGTAAATATTTTGTCAAAATCAGATTTTAGCCTAAACCTCGCAATTGCAGTCACACTACTAGGTGTTTTTTTTGTCAAACGAGACAAACCCCTTTGTTTATAGCTTTAAACTAAACAGAGACTTGATTTATAAAAATCTAAATAAAAAAATTATAGTCACTTTTAAATATCTAAAACAAAAATTTGAAATATTATTTTTTTCTATAACCAATCTTAAAAATAATGACTTTCAAGAAGAATTGACCCTGAAAATTTAATTTGGCTGGTATTGGGGCAACATGTTAAAAATGTACTTAATTAGTCCAAGTACCAAAAATCCCTGATTTTTTATAAGCCTAAAACTATCTTAAAAACAATTAGTAGTTTGGCTGCAACTGCGACATTTAGGAAAAAATCTGATTTTTAATGAAGTTCAAATAACTTGATCGCTGAACATATGGGGGGGGGGGTAAATCGGTGCTGAGTCCTCTAGCCACAGTGGCGAAGCCTCCATACTTTTTAGTATTAAAGTTTAATTAATCTAGGCGTATTTAAAGGTTTAATAACTCAATACTTATATTACCATATGTGTTAAAAATATAATTTTGAACTGAAGCATAAAATATGAGATACCTAAGTATAAGTTTAATTTTATAGCAAATAATTGTTACAATCTTTTTTTTTAATGTGAAGCCCAAATTTTAATGTTAAATGAATACATGTATTGAGGTTTTTAAAGAATATTTCTTTTAGTCCTTCAGTATATAAAATTTTAATAGCGCCATCTACTTAATTCTATAGGTGAAGTCATTTTATCGAACGAAAATTGATTAATTCTCACGGTGGTACGTAAAGATTACGCTAGATGGCACAAACACGCTATCGGCTAATTTAATAATTTAATATTTACATTACCTTAAGAGTTAAAAATATCATTTTGTACGGTTTATTAAAATTGAAAATGAAAATTATATAATAAATAGTCATTATTTTATGGTAAAAAAAATTTGCAAAGCTATCTTCTCATTATACCATATCTAATTCCTGTCGTAATCTGTACTTCTATGCATATAACTTGAACAAAATAATTTGGATGTTTCACATCTACCAGGCGTCCATTTTTTAATTTTTTACATAGTTTGTACTTTGTTCATGCTTTTCTTTTGTTCATGTATTGTACGTAAATATCTTTTTCTTTCGCTCAAGCAAACCCAAACGGCTCTATTAAAAGCCACCGAAGGTATACAATTGCATATGTCAAACAATCTATCTAGCGGTAGTATGACTTCTGTGTGCTTTGTTAAACACGTCCTCAACAGAACTGAATATGAAACTAAAGAGTGGAGACAGATGAAGATTGGTGTATTTTTATAAAACTGCTAAAAACAACAAAACCATATCTTGCGCTTGCCCTAGTTTGGAGCTCTAGCTTCGCCACTGCCCGGTCACCGATGATCCACCCCTCAGGTTACACCGTGTATGAGATTCATTTACTACTCGTTAAGGCAGCTCAAATAAGCCTTGTGGCCTTATCGTTAAAATAATTGTTTAATTTATGTTAAAGTGATATTTTTAATGACAAAAGGTTAATGTTAATGGTTTAACAATTTTACTGATTATTTTTATGATGAATTTTGGGCAAGAGCTAGAGATGGGCAATTTGTTTCTGCCCGGCGGGAAAAATTGGCAAAAACCCGACATTTTGGGCATAAATTTATTTTTGCCCAATATATGTCCAATTACAGGGCAAAAAAAAAAGTAATACTAAAACGTGGTCAAATTAAATTTTTAATGTAAAATTGTACTTATTAAAGAAATAAAACAAGGAATTTTCGTGATTGAACACGTTTTTATTTTAAAATAATAACATTGATATACTTTGTCATGTGAAAATTTTAACAAGAATCAACAATATAATTTTTATATAAAAATATTAGAATATGTGCTTAATTAATAAAATAAAACAATATGTACTAATCAAATAATGAAAATATGACTTCTAGCATTAATAGGAACAATATTGTAAAAATTCTAAAAATCAATATTATTATGGTTTGAATTAAAATCACACTAAAGCATAGAATCATTGTTAACACCCGACCGGTATAATAATGAAAGTATTTTTTTTATTGTATTACAAGTTCCATTAGCCCAGAGTTCCCCAAACTTTTTTGTGTCGTAGACCCCTTGCCATGTTTTTCCGTGTTGGGTAGACCCCCTACTTACCTGATATTGATTTCCTGTAAATTTCTAACTGTAGTGAAGTTTAGTGTCAAAAACTTAAAGTAAAAACACATGTTAATTTGTACATTTATTAATTGAATTTAAACTAAAACTACTCAAAATAAAATTTTGTATCCGTTATGTAAAATATACGTAGCATTAAATAAACATAAAATAAACTATAAATAAAATAACATAAGCAATAAGTCAATATTTTTAATGAGAAGGATGAACCTGATGCTTTAATAATAAATTATCAACATTTGGCGTCAATTTTGTAAGGGTTAATCTTAAATCTCCTCGGCTAATGATGTCCAGTCTGTTTCTTTTTTTCGTTAGGAGATTGGTAACAGCGCTGAACCCCCTTTCCATTAGGTATGACAATGGAAAGGAAATTAAAAATTTCCTCGCTATATTCCATAATACGGGATAAGTAACGGGTATGTTGTTTTGCAGCCAGAATTGCTGATATCCGTTTTTAAACTGAACCTTAAGTTCTTCGTTTGTACTTAGTTCAGTCAGTTCCTCTTGTATTATGACATTCGTTTCTTCTATGTCACCATATGGATTAATTATCTACGGTGGTATTACCATAGTCAAAATATCCTCAAACCTAGATTCAAAATCTGAATAGAGGGCATTTAAATGTTGAACGTAAGTTGAAACGTCGTCTTCCTGGCAGCTTGTCTGTGACAAATTGGGGAACTGAGAAAATTCGCCCCGTCCAATATTTTGCTTCATTAGTTTAACTCTGGCAAGAAACGCTGATAAGATGGACTTTGTTTTAATCAAATTTAAACTGTCGCCTTGTAATTGCAAACTAACCATATTAAATTTTGTAAACAAATCTGTTAAATAGGCGATGTCTGTTTTCCTCTTCATTAAATTTTCTTTTAAAATTATATCATTAGTATCCAGAAATTCTAAAATAGTCTCAAAAAGTGCAAAAAATTTTGTCAAACATAAGCCTTTCGACAGCGAGCGTACTTCAGTGTGAAGGAGTAATTGATGAAAGTGTTCGTCATTTTCTTCACACAACTGCGCAAATAACCACGTATTCAACGCGTTGCTTCGGATTCGGTTTACTGCATCAATTACTAAATAAGTGATTCATGCAATCTAACACTCGAATTTTTAGCAACTAAATGTTGTCGATGGATGACGCAATGTATTGCTAACACCCTTGACACATTTTGTTTTAAATAGCTTATAAATCCACGATAACGTCCAACTATGACAGGTGCTCCATCTGTAGCTACTGATATTATATTTGATAAAGGAATTGCTTTTTCAATGAAGTAGTCCTTCAAAACATGAAATATTGATTCACCTTTAGTGTCGGTTATCAAAGTTCTTGCGAAGAGCAGTTCTTCGTAGATTTCTTGATTCATAATAAAACGAACATATGCCAACAATAATGCTGCATTATCAGGTAAAGTTGACTCGTCCAGTTGTATAGGGAAATAGGTCGTTTGCAAATAATTACATAAGAAGCTGTCAATATCAGAACTCATTTCATCAATACGTCTTTGAACAGTATTGTTGCTTAAGGGAATTCTTTTAATGATATCAGATGCAGGTTTGTGTAAAACGGTTTTTAAAACCTCTTCAACGGCTGGCAAAATTAACTTCTCTCCGAAAGTATGTGGTTTTCCGGATTTTTCTATAAGTAACGAGATATTGTAAGACGCCCGCAAACCAACATCATTTCTTTGTGACGTCGAAGCTAACATTCTGTCCAGTGTAGGTCTCTTCTGAAATGTATCTTTGAGTGTTTGAAAGTATTTCAAATCTTTCTCTGTTTTATCAGGGTGGCACCTTCTCAGATGATCTTGCAGTTTAGATGGTTTCATAGCGTCATTGCCCAAAACTTTGTTGCATAAAAGGCATATAGGCAATTGTTTGTCCGGTAATGATGGAATGAAGCCAAATTTCAAATAATCGACACTGTACTGTCTACATTTCTTTTTAGATTCGGACATGGCATCAGTCATCTGTGGGCAAAATTAAATTATTTAAATAAGACAGAAAATCCAGCAGCTGTATATTAAAAATATTTTTTGATTTTTCCGAAAACATTCCATAATTCGAACATCTTCTTGCAACAATTAGCTCGAATTACGGAGATTGCACTATAATTATAATACCGATTGCTAAAACTTTCAAAAAGAAACTATTGAGGAGTACTCGTGTATTTTTGCATGATTGAATATTAAACTAATAATAACTAAAGTCATGATTGGCGTAATTTATCTATCTTTGCTAACTACAAGTACAAAACTAAAATTTAATAAAAATAATGTACTTACTTTTCTCCAGCACTCTACAAAATAACACTGACTCACTATAATTTGTGTGATATACTATCTGTTTATATTTTTTAAAATATTTTCTTAGCACTTTCCTTTTCAAGATTCAGGAAACGAATAAACGTATTTGTCCCACATGATTCGTATTTATAGAGGACGAATTGAACAAGTCAGTGCAAGGTAGCGAAGCTCTGAGACTGCGACTCTCAGGTTTTTACAAGTTCGAAATGTATTCCAACCACAAAGCGAATACCAACATCCTACAACTTACACAATTTTATAAACATATAATAAATTTTTACTTCATAGGTACTTTTATAAATAATGTATATGTTTTGATATTATAAGATAGTATGATGTAAGTAAATAGGTACTATCAGTGTATGTGTTGAGATCCACTATCGTGGACCCCCATTTTCGTTTCATGGACCCCCAAATTTTTTTCGCTGACGTAGACCCTTTGCAGGTTGTCATAGACCCCTAGGGGTCGATATAGACTACTTTGAGAATCACTACATTAGCCTAATCACTATCGGTATCATATAAACATTCGCTAATATTTACGAATTCAATGATTAGTTTGTAGTGAAGTTGAAGCTACTGGTTCCATATCTTCCCATATATCCTCCATGAGAGAAGATTCTATATCCTCATGCATGTGACCCTCCATGGCAACGTCGTGCAACATATCATCATCTATGTCTTCCATGTCGGACCTTTCTGGAACAGTATCTTCACTGTAAACACGATTAATGTTTTCACCTTTATTTAATAAGTTCCAATTATACGATAAGAAAGTTATTTTCGCCGCTCTTCCTGACGTGAGACGGTTTCTTTTAGCACTATGTATAAATCCCTGTGTGCTGAACGACCGTTCGGTGGCTGCTGACGTACAAAGTGCAGTCAATACTCTAGGTGCAACTTTACTTAACTGACTTGAGCCACATATCCCCTTCCACCATAAAATAGGATTTACTTTCTCAGCGGCCTTCCAAATAAATGGTTTGCTCCAAAGACCTTCTTTAGCTTTATATTTAGCCAGGTCAGCAAGACAGTCAATGTTGCAATGCTCAGCGAGGTTATAGATTAATTCCATGGCTTCAGTTTCTTCCGCCTGATTTAGTACAATGCCTGCAGATTTAGGATCAAACACGTAGGCCGCATAATGTATGGGTTTTATGCACTGCTTAACTCGTTTTTCAATATAAGTTTTTATGTTCTCCTTGCTGTCGTCATCCAGCATTGTGATTGTTGGTAACACAAATTCTAACTTTGATTTCAGGTTTCTTAGCACCATAAATACTTCATGTATGTTGAATTCGTTGCCTTCTAGTTTAAAGATACTTTCTGCTATAAGCTCAAGAACACTGATGGATTGTTCTATCATAGACCAGAAATCTTCCAGAATGTAGATTTAATATCGGGCGTTGGCTGAAGGTTTTCATTAACAGCTAAAGTCCGTAGTGCAGCTTTATTAATTTTTAGACTTTTTTAGTGCACTGACATGACTGCCCCATCTTGTCTTACAGGATAATTTTAGACTTTGACTAGAGCTTTTTTTTTTCTAATTTTACTTAATAAAGCACTTAAGAATTGACTTTTTTTAATATTTTTAATAACATCTGTTGCGAGATCTATGAAAACTGTAACTTCGGGTGCTTTTATTACGTCAACGCACAATAATTTCAGAGTGTGAGCAGCACAGTTCAATGGCACAATATGTGGGTATTTGTTTTTTATCATTTCGAATGACTTTTGGACATTTCGTGCGTTGTCTCAGGAGAATAAGGACCACAAATTTACTCACTCCGTAAGATTTCATTACTTTTTCAGTTTCACAATTTAAATACTCATTTGTGTGCCAATTATGAAGTGTGTTCAGACTTTTTATAAAACCCGGTTCTGGCTTGGATATTAAAAAAATTATAATGCCTTCATTGCAAACATCAGTCCAGCCGTCGCATTGCAAGTGTAGAAAATTTGATGCTTTTAAATCATTACTGATTTCTTTATTCATCTCTTTATATATTTTTTCTAGATATTTAGTTGCAATAGACTTTCTATTAGGCAATTTAAAATTAAATTTTTCAAAAAATTTTACCCATTAATGGGTGTTCTACCATTGCTAGAGGTGTTCCCGTGATTAATAGAGCCTTCGCAAACTCTTCTCTTAAATCTCTAATATTCTCGGCCGATGTGTTCTCCGAGTTCAAGGAAGTGGTTGTGGATTCTGGTGTTAAGTTGGATTGTGACTTATTGACATCGTTAATTTGTTTTTTTACGGCTTGTGGGCATTTAAAGCAGGTCAGAAGATGTTGCTGCATTTTTATTACATGCCCTTTTTTATAATGCTTTTCCCAAAACGAGCACTTTACGGAATTGTCTGGTAATTGATGATAGTGCCTCCATATAGTATGATTTTTTGATCTTCCCATGGCGCTAAACAACAAATATTTTTCATAAAGCAAGCACTTTAGTAATAAGTAAGTTTATTTGTAACTTATTTTTCTTGTTGTATATCAAAAATATGCAGAGGGTACTAAACATTTATTACTTTTACTCGGAATATCTGATTGGTACACAAAAAAAAGAAAGACTGACTTACCTTACAAGTAGCAGTAAATTATCACACACTTAATACTAATAATTGCATAAATTGGTTAACCGGAACTAGAATACAACAAACAATAGACACAAATAGAATGCACGTGCGGTAACTGCAACTGACACAGGACGACTAACAACAAAACGGCGGCGCGGTGTGTTGCCTGGACGCATTTTTCGTCCCGCACCTCTTACTCACTTACTCGGTACAAGTATTTTTTCCCGCTGCGGCGTAATTCGTAACATTTATATCGTAAACATGGTTTTGTAAAATAAACATATTTAAAAAAAAAGTATGCAAATTCGTAAAATAACACCTTTAAATAATTAATCTTAACTAAACTCAACAAGTTAGACCAGCTTATAAATCTTGTAAATTGTAGGGACACAGTATAGATATCTATAATATACTAGCTCTTTAGATTGCGTGTCCGGTAACCTACATCATGCCCATACTTATTTAACTATACTTATGTATGTGTAATGCATGTTTATGTGTATAATAGATATAGGTGTGGCGGCTGTGTCCGCCACGCGGAGTCGCAAATATATCACCGTTTACTCGACACGTGTCTTCATCTATTGCAACCTTAATGGACTTAAGTAAATTAATTAATTAATTAAATACAGTACCCATAAAACTGTATACTGGTGACCCCTGAAGAACCGTTTGTGAATTAGTGTCGGTAAAATATGTATCCGCAACCCGGACCTGCGCCAGTTCCTGCAGCGCCTATCGCGCCCGCGCCGGTACCAGCCCGCCCAGGGCGAGCAGGCGTCGACGGAGACCCGCGCAGATGGCGCCGTGGCGCTGGCGAATATCAGCGTTACGTCTAGAATACCCGACTTCTGGACGGGCCAACCGTGACTCTAGTTCGTTCATTTCGAGGCCGTAATAGAAATCCAGAAAATCGGGGATGCGGCCAAGCAAAATCTGGTCGTAACTAAATTAAGCAAGAGCGCTGCAGGTAAGTGATCTGCTGCTGTCGCCGCCATCCGAAAGGAGGTATCAGACGGTAAAGGATCGGCTTCTGTGTTTGAGGATTCGGAGACTAGACAATTACAGAGACTACTGGGGGAGATGGAGCTCGGCACTCAAAAGCCATCGCAGCTCTTACGTCGGATGCGAGACCTCGCGAGGAATAAAATGCCAGACGCTACACTCCAGATTATGTGGACCAGACATTTACCCACGGCCGTTCAAGCTGTTCTAGCTGTCACCGAAGCAAAGGACCTGGAAAGCCTGGCGACGGTGGCGGATAAGGTGATGGAAGTGACCAGGCCGCCAGAAATTGCCGAAGTCAGCAGCGTTACATCCAGCAAGCTCGGCGATTTAGAGGATATTGTGAGTAAACTGCAGATCGAACTAGCAGAACTACGTCGGTCAAGGTCGAGTCAACGCAACAATAACTCAGGTAACCGGGGGAGAACGGGGCGATCAGGTTCGCGGCAACGCAGCGCCAGTATGTCCCGTAAGAATCCGAAATGGTTATGCTTTTACCATCATCGTTATGGTTCCAAGGCCGTGAAGTGCGTTGATCCTTGCAATTGGGCTAGGGCGAAGCCATCTACGCCGTCCGCACAGGGAAACTAAGTACGATACAGCCAGGGGCGGAGGCATGTATCGGTTTGCAAAATAACCGCCTATGCGTTTTGGACAAAAATACAGGACTTAAGTTTTTAATTGATACGTGTGCCAACATATCTGTAATTCCGGTGGTAAAAAAAGTGCGTCATTTCCTACCGCGAGTGATAATTATAAGTTATATGCGGCGAATGGAACGGAAATTAGAACCTATGGTATGCGTACTCTAGTTTTAAATTTAAATTTAAGGAGAGAATTTAGATGGTCTTTTATTATAGCGGACGTCAAACAGACTATAATCGGTGCCGACTTTCTAAGCCATTATAAACTGTTGGTAGATTTACACGTGCGGAAATTAAGAGATCAAGTTACGCATCTAAATGTTCTCGCTTCGATTGTAGCGTACAGTAGTAACGATGACTCGTCTATTAGAACTATAGATAGTAAAAATGAATGATACGATATATTACTTAAGTACCCGGATTTCACTAAACCTGTGTCGTATAAGGAGACTCCTAAACATTCCGTATGTCATTACATAGAGACGACAGGCCCACTCGTCCATGCGAAGGCTAGGCCTCTACCTCCGGACAGGTACAAGTGGGTTAAGGAAGAGTTCAAGCTCATGTTAGATCTAGGAATATGTAGACCTTCTAAAAGTTCATGGGCAAGCCCTTTACACGTAGTCCTTAAAAAAGACGGGGACATTCGTCCGTGTGGTGACTACCGTACGTTGAATGCAATAACTAAGCCCGACCGCTATCCGATTCCAAGTCGTATATCGATTTTGAGTACGTGTTAGCCGATTATATTTGAAACGGGCGTATCATTTAATTCCAGTGCTAGAATCGGATATTGAGAAGACTGCCATAATTACACCCTTTGGATTGTTTGAGTTTCCACGCATGATCTTTGGTTTGCGAAACGGAGCCCAAACGTTCCAGAGATTTATGTATTCGGTAGTCCTCAAAGGTCTTGATTTTTATTCATTTACCTCGATGAAGTCATCATAGCTACTAGCGACTGTATAGCCAGCCATAGAGAACATTTAAACAAAGTTTTCAAAGGTTTAACGAGTATAGGGTGACAATAAATGTTTCTAAATGTGAATTCGGTAAGGCTAAGTTAGAATTCTTAGGATATGAGGTGTTCTCGGAGGTAGTACGCCCTCTTGACCGCAAAGTGCAGGCTATCGTCAGTTATCCGAGGCCGGAAACTGTCGAGCAGCTACGTCGATTTTTAGGTATGTTGAATTTTTACCGATCTCATATTCCTAAAGCAGCCGACTATCAGGCAGAACTTAACGCGTATTTGCATAATACCAAAAAGCGCGATAAAACTTTAATTAACTGGACTGATAAGGCCAACGAGGCATTTTTGAAGTGTAAAGAGAGCTTAAAAAACGCCGCTACGCTTCATTATCCTTCACCCGACGCGGACTTTGATGACCGACGCTTCAAACACTAGTATCGGTGCAGTATTACAACAAAAAGTAAATAATATTTGGCAACCACTTCGTTTTTTCTCAAAAAAGTTGTCTGAGTCTGAAAATAAATACTCAACTTATGATAGGGAATTGTTAGCAGTGTATATGGCCGTCAGACATTTTAAAAATTTATTGGAAGGTCGTATTCTAACAATTTTTACGGATCATAGACCGCTAGTGTGTGCTTTCCATAAAGTTGGTAACGATAAGGAAAGTCCGAGGAGAGTCTGACATCTCTCGTAGATAAGTGAATTTACCACTGATATTCGCTATATTAGCGGACACAAAATGTAGTGGCTGACGCTTTATCGCGCATAAAGTAAAAGTAAAGTAAAGTTACAGCCTATATACGTCCCACTGCTGGGCTCAGGCCTCCCCTCATTTCTGAGAGGGTTTAGGGCAAGGAAGTGTCCGCCGCGCTGCCCAAATGCGTGTTGACGAACTTCACATGTCTTCGAAATATTTTTCTTATTCCTCAGACATGCAGGTTTCCTCACGATGTTTTCCTTCACAGCCGAGCACGTGGTAAATCAGCACTTAAACTTAAACTTTGGTGCCGGCGGGGATCGAACCCGGGTTACTCTCGCGTTCTGTTATATTTACAGCGAGCGTTAACCACTGAGCTACCACGGCTCTCAACTCTTATCGCGCATAGAAACAGTAAATTGCCAAACAATATTAGATTACACGGATATCGAAATACAACAAGCTAGTGACGAATACCTACAACAAACATTAAAAGTGTCGGATAGCAACTTGCAGTTTAAGCAGTGTCATTTGCCCGGCTGTGAGAAACCTGTGTATTGCGAAATCTCATCGAGCAATATTAGACCTTATTTACCGAAACAATTTAGGCAGTCGGCATTTCATCCGTGCATAACCTCAGTCATCCTGGCATTAAAACAACCAAAAACTTAATAAAAAAAAGGTTCTTTTGGCCAGATATGGATCGCGATATAGCAAAGTGGGCACGGACATGTCTTAATTGCCAAAAAGTTAAAATTACTAGTACGAGATCCCACTGCAGAATTAGTGTACTCATCGAGTATATGCTAAAAACCTAATTTTTACGCATATTTATCATTAAGAGAATAAATATTTGCTAGGGTGCCTATCAAAATGTGGCCGCTAGTATTTTTAATTAATTTTTCGCAAAAAATTTCATTGATTTGTTTTTAAAATAAAATATCGTCCACTTCACGGCAATATATATAAAGACTTTGAAAATTTACGGTTGCCGTTGCGCACTTGGCCGCACCTCTTTGCAGCCAGGTGTAAACAGGTATGATTTTGATATCTTTTTACGTTTATAACGTACATTTATGATTTATATATTAAATTAAAGCTAATTTTTTTCTTATTATTATGATATATGGGTGCCTAATTAAATCTGGCCGCAAATAAGAGTTGCTGGCTGCTAAATATGATAAATATTAAAAGTAGAGTGAAAGAAAGCTAGCGCGTAATGTCACCAGTCAGACGAAGACAGCGACTGCCAGCTGTCCGACGTTTTAAAGCCGTTGCGCATGCGTCGGGTGCTAGTGTTCTCAACCACTGGTTCAAATAATAGTAGAGACGACTTAATAAATACTCCAAAAGAAATGTCTTTCTTTCAAAATTACAAATTTAAAAATTACATAAAAACGATTAATATTGAAAAATAAAACCAAGGTTACTTACGTAAAAAAAATTATTGTGGAAGTAGGTTGAAAAAATATTAGATTTTATTCAAGTATTTAATCGTTTGTCACATATAAATTAAACATTCAAGTAAGTTAAACATTAAAATAAAAAAATGTTTCTTATATTTTTCTTATATTTCATCGGAGCTATCACTTTTATCGTTACTAATATCAGAATCGTCGTCATTATCGGAAGATTTGTTCGTGGAATCACATAGCACACTCTCAACTTGCGTTGGAGTTGAGTCTCCCAGGAACCATGTTGGTTTTAGGACACCATCTAATAACAGCCAGCCGTTATTTTCCGCGTTAAACTTGATACAATTCGGCTCAGTAGCATTTAACCACATTGAATTAACAAAGATTGTCCGCAACAATTTTTGTTTCAAAGATTTCCAGCACGGTGGAATATGCGTTGAGTCGAAACCTTTCATTCTTTTCATAAATTTTTCATTATTTTGTTTTGAAGCGTACATTTTGTCAAATAATAAAAATCTTGCGGCATTTACATTTTGACACTTTGGAAGTCCATACATAAGGCACGTAAACTCCTGGACCGCATTAATTTAGTTTCATTAAAGATGTCATTAGGATTCGTCAAAGACGCAAGAGCTTGTTGAATGTGTGGGTGCTTCATAAATAAAGTCAAGGGCTGAACTTTCCCTTTGTTGAAGAATGCAGCCGTGTAGTCGCAACCCGTGTACGCGTGAAAAGCGGGAAGAGCAAGACATAGAGTTGCGCCTAATTTTATTGATAAGTCCGTACAGTTAATATAAACTTCATCTTTATTTATTACTTTTTTTTGATGCATTGTTCGCCAACCAAATCTGCAAATTAGGAAATTTATGCATATTACCTAATAAAATTATTAAAACGTCTGTGTCTGATGCTTTCACCAAAATTTTTGAATTTTCAGGTACTTTGCTTATGTGGAAAACAATCCTTGTATCAGCTTCTTCATGTTTACATTAAAATGCAGTTTCTTCAGTTTCATCATCATCATCATCATTACAGCCCTTCACAAGTCCACTGCTGAACATAGGCCTCCCCCAAGTAATGCCACAAAGCACGGTCCTGAGCCACCTGCATCCATCGACTTCCTGCATGTCTTACCAGGTCGTCACTCCATCTAGTGGGGGGTCGTCCTACACTACGCCTACCGGTACGAGGCTGCCACTCGAGAACCTTTCTTCCCCATCGGTTATCGGTTCTTCGAGCTATATGGCCGGCCCATTGCCACTTCAGCTTACTAATCCGTTGGGCTATGTCGATCACTCTGGTTTTACTGCGGATATCCTCATTTCTGAGTATATCACGCAGAGAAACTCCAAGCATAGCCCTCTCCATAGCTCGCTGAGCGACCTTAAGCGTCCTCATACGGCCAGCAGTGAAGGACCACGTCTCAGATCCGTAAGTCATCACTGGCAACACGCACTGGTTGTACAATCTAGTTTTTAGAGATTGAGGCATACCTGACGAAAAGATATGACGTAATTTCCCGAACGCTGCCCAGCCGAGTTGAATCCGTCGATTGACCTCTCGGTCGAAGTTGGACTTACCTAGTCGGACTATTTGTCCCAGGTAAACGTACTCGTCAACAACTTCGAGCATAGTGCTCCCAACAACTACCGGCATAGGTGTGACATGGACATTAAACATGATCTTTGTTTTGTCCATGTTCATCTTAAGACCTATCCGTTGGGAGGCACTATTGAGGTCATTGAGCATAATGCTTAAGTCCTCCAGCGATTCTGCCATAATGACTATATCGTCGGCAAATCGAAGGTGAGTGATGTACTCGCCATTGATGTTAATACCGTATCCTTTCCAGTCCAGTAGCTTGAAAACGTCTTCCAACGCAGCGGTGAAGAGTTTCGGGGATATAACATCACCCTGTCTTACACCTCTCTGCAGTTGGATAGGTTTCGAACTCTGGTTCTGTACTCGGATAGCCATCGTAGCCCTACTGTACAAACACTTCAGCACTTCGATGTACCGACAGTCAACTTGGCACCGCTGAAGGGACTGTAGCACCGCCCAAATTTCGACGGAATCAAAGGCTTTCTCATAGTCCACATATGCCAGGCAAAGTGGCAGATTGTACTCTTCGGTCTTCTGTACAATCTGCCGCAGGGTATGTATGTGGTCTATGGTACTGAAGCCTTTTCGGAAACCGGCTTGTTCGGGAGGCTGGAAGTCGTCGAGTCTGCGTGCGAGACGATTCGTAATGACTCTCGAAAATAGCATGTAGACGCGGCTCAGAAGGGAAATCGGTCTGTAGTTCTTCAAGAGAGCGTTGTCGCCTTTCTTAAAGAACAAAACCACCGCGCTTCTGCTCCACGCCTCCGGAGTAGTGCCACCATGGAGGACGGAATTGAAGAGCTTCCGAAGGACTTCAAGTACCGGTTTTCCACCCGCTTTCAGAAGCTCCGCTGTAATTCCATCCTCGCCCGGGGCCTTGCCGTTTTTAAGGTGGTGGAGAGCCATTCTAATCTCGCTCATACTGACGTCCGGGATATCATCGGAATAGTGTCGGATAAGACTTGCTCTTGGATCGTTACTCACACTTGCGTGTGGCTCCAACGATGATGTGTACAGCTGCCCATAGAACCTCTCAATCTCACTCAAAATCTCAGGTGTCCCGGAAACGATGTTGCCACACTCAGTCTTCAGCTTTGACAGTTGGCTCTTTCTGGCAGACAGATCTCTGGCAAAGACTTTGGAGCCCTGGTTCCGCTCGATCGCTTCTTTAATACGAGAAGTATTAAAGTTGCGTAAGTCTCGCCGCATGCATTTGGAGATCTGTCTGTTCAGTTGCCTGTATGCTGTCAAATCTGTTGACGATTGCAGCCTCATCTCCCGTCTAACAGCCATGAGATTAAGAGTGTGATCGGAGAGTTTTTGTGTTCTCCTGCGGCGGGTCTTGCAGAACTTAGCTCCGACCGCATGGACAGTTTCCACGAGCTTGTCGTTCATATCGTCCACTGCATTGCAATCTTCTAGGCACTGGAAGCGGTTACGTAACTCGAGCTGAAAGGTTTCGGGATTCTGGATTAGAGCACGAGGGGGACGGAGCGTTGACTTCATTAGACGAGACCTCTCCAACTTAACGTTTAGGTTCAGTGTGCCTCTAACCATTCGGTGATCGCTGCCAGTTTTCACCCTTGCGATCACTGAGACATCACTGAACAGTTGGCGTCTGGTCGTCATAATGAAGTCAATCTCATTTTTTGTCGAACCGTCGGGGCTCGACCAGGTCCACTTCCTGTGGGGCCGCTTCTGGAAGAAAGAGTTCATCATAAAGAGTCCCTCTTTCTCCATAAAGTCGGCCAGCTGCTGGCCCCTTCGGTTCCGTTGCCCTACTCCAAATTTCCCTACCTTCAGCTCACCGCTTTCTCTTGTGCCTAGTTTTGCGTTGAAGTCTCCCATCAGCACCGTGTAGTGGGTTTTGGAGGAATGTATGGCTCTGGAAATATCCTCATACATTTCCTCCACCTCCTCATCGGGATGTGCCGAGGTTGGTGCGTAAACCTGAATGACCTTCAGCGAATACCGTTTGGTGATTCTGAGTATCAGGTACGCGACCCTCGTCGACACACTCCCAATCTTTACAACGTTGTTGACGAGAGACTTGTGGACGATAAATCCGACACCTCCTTGGGACAGATGGTCGCCCTCCCGGTGATAGAACAAGTTGCCGGACTCGAGGATTGCCGTGTCCTCCCCCTCTCTTCGGACCTCGGATAATCCAATAATATGCCAGCGCAACTTGTCTACCTCTTCTTCCAGCTCTAGTATCTTCTCGTCAGTCCTCAGGGTGCGTGCGTTATATGTTGCCAGGTCGAGTCGTCGTAGGTGGCAACCGAACCTCCACCGGAGATTCTTAGCACCCCCTGCCCCGCCGTTACCATGGTCGCCACCGTAGCCAGGAATAGCGGGGCCGCCGGGGACTGGGGGCCGTCTGTTTGTGTATTTATTCATTGGGGGGTATTTGCCATAGTTGCCACGCTTGGCGAGCGGGTTGGCAACCGCAGTTTTTTATTACGTCACAGTTGTTATCAGGAAGATGCTGCTGCCCAACTCCTGCCTGTCTCCCTCTGTCGCCTTTTACGACACCCACGGGAAGATATGGGGTAGTGGATATTCTCAACCGCCACTACACGGCAGTTCTACAGGCAGTTCTTCAGTTTGCACTACGAGATTTGCAGCAGAACAATACGAAAAACATTGCTCTCCAACTGTAATATAATTTTTTTTATTTCCTAATACTGTAGCAAAAGAATCATCGGCCCAATGATTTGCTAAGAATTTTACCAGGGCTTCTTTGAAACGAAAATTCTTCAAGCTTTTTAAAAAATCATTGGGTCTTTTTTGCAAAGGGCCATTAATTGTGTATGGAATATCAATTCCTTCTCGATTTTGTCGTTCGCTATCTTTAATAGAAGGCGTTAAATATCTATCAAATATGATATGTACTTCGGGAGTATTTTTCGAACAAAGTTTTATCAATATCGATTCTGCTACTTTTCCAAATGTTTGCGGCAAATTAGAGCCAATTTGATACAAATAATAGAAACCATCAATGATTTCTATGTCGACTTGGCCAGGATTAGCTGGTGCAATCTTTGCTGTCAATTGTTTACTCAGAGTTGACTTGTCCGTCTTCATTATGTCACCTGAGCAGTGGAATAGTGCAGGAGGTAGAGGTGCTAGAGGGAATGACAAACAGTACCCAATGTCAACTTTTTGATTAATGGCAATTGCCAACAGACGTCCAAAAATATCTCGTTCCATTTTAATTATTGTATTTTTGTCTCCGGTGGTATTCTTAATACTTTTTTTAACACAATCTGAAGCGAAGTTATTTATTTTATTACGACTTATTGATCTCACAAATCTTGTTGAATCTTCAGAGCATTCCGAAAAAAATTTTATTTTTTTTTATTCTTTTGTTCTTGACCTAAAGACTTAACATTGAGTAAATAATCAGTAACATTTGAGGATGCCGCTTTACCAGTTGACAAATTGAACAAACGATCTTTGTCAACATTTTCAGAAAAAAGGATTCATTGTTTTCTTCATAGTTTTAACAATATTGTTTAGAGTTTTTGAGTCTTTCTCAATTCGATTCTTCTGTAACGTATAAGAAGTATCATCTGCTTGAGATAATCCGATTTCTGCTTTCACGGACGACATAATTTTAGTCCTGACACTATGGCTAAGAGCCCATCTTTCTCGTGCAGCGATCGAATTTGTAAAATGGCTTCCACCAGTCAAGGTATTACCGGCATCAGCATTAATCGTCTGCTCTAAAGTCATGTCTACAGGTGATCTGCCTAAGCACGATTTTGTGCGTCTAATACCAAATGCACCTTCGCGAAATTCCTGAAGTAGAGTAGAATTTTCGACTTTTAACTTGATTAAGTTATTTAAATACATAGCAGCCCATTTGGCATAATTCGGCTGATTGAATGCAAAAAAGTAGCCACACATTTCGAAGATAGAATCTAAGTAGAGCTCAAAATTACTGCAGCGTATGCTTCTAGAAAATCGAAGAAATATGTTGATAAGTTCAGTATACTGCAAATAATATTGAGCTGTCTTTCCATGACCGCCCTGAAGTGTTATTTCGCGGAATTGTTTGTAACCCTGCAGTATTTTATCCAATGAATCAGGTAAAACATTGATTCCACATGAAGTATTCATTACGGCGTTTAAGTCTTCCTTTAAAGTTTCAATATCATCCGTGTCAATTTCTGACAGATATTTTTCAAAATGAAGAATCTGCAAAGCACCAGAAGCCAAAGGATGTAGCCGCTTACATCGATTAAAATGTTTACTATCTAAGAAGCTGTTCATTGAACCTCCTGCTAGTGCCTCTGCTTCAACCAAAATCTCTACTAATCCACTGGAATCAATATACTTTCCAATTGCTTTAAAGAAAGCCATTTGGGTATGGAATGCGCCTAAATTAATGAATATATCGTCAAATTCTGGCTTTTTAGTATGTTGAATCTGCATAGCTAATTTGGCTATTGCTAAATCGTAAGTAGCTATGATCTGTTGTTGATTACAATTCTTAGCAATTTCCTTTGCAATGTTAAGAGTTTCTTGAACAACAGCTAGCGATGTAGGAGATTCATTAATTGGTGATAAGTACTCGACTGTCTGAATTTTACTCTCATCAATGCCAATTTTGCAGTTATAACCTAACCACATGGGTACCGAATCAATTTGAGATAAAGACATACTCCAAACCAAATCCTTATCAATTGCGATTGATTTATCTGAATGACACGCATCGATTGTTTCAGTAATTGTTTGAAAAGGCAGAAACGTCATACTTGTAAATGGTGTCTTGACAAAGGGACGAATTTCCTTCGAAGGTGCTTCAAAACGCCGTCTCTTAGAGGAAGAGGGTGAGGGAAAGAAGTATTGGTTTTAGGGTCATCATTTTCGCTGCGAAATTGATAAATGATACCAACTGTATCGTGCAAAGTGTCTTTCCCAGTGGCTGTATCGACGAAACGGTCAAAGTTATCGAAAGCTATGTGCGTGCTTAGCCCATCAACTCTGCTAATACCGGCCGGTATCGCATTGTTTTCGTTTTGGGAACTATACGTCATCTCAGTTTCAATTTATTCAGCTAAATTATAGCCTATTGTATGTCCATATCTATTTAATATCGTTAAAACTTTTCGTGAACTTGTCATAGATTTCATTCATAACCCGAGTGTAAGATGTTTTGACTGTTTGACTCTACCTTTGGATACAATATAAATCAGGTCACTACACACAGACTTTATTTTCACCAAATCATCACCTGAATTTTTACGACGAGTATCTGGTCCTTGAACTAAGTCACACACGAAATTAAAAAGTTGTTCTGGAATATTGCACTCTCCGAGAATGACATCCTTTGGAGTTAGATTATCTAGCAGCTTCGTACTTTCCAGAGATGTGATACAATTGCGCAATTTGTAAGCGACATCTCTGAATCGATTCTTTTTAGTAGATTCTAATTTTGCTATTTCACCAGCTAATCGTGACGTGTCCATGTCATACTGATATACAATTTTCTTTTTCGGTGTCCCCATGGATGATTCAATAGTAACTCTATCGCCAAAAGCTTTGATTATTTTATTTTCTAAGTTTTCAACACGATAGTCTTGTATGTCTTCAGCGCGTACTTGGCCTTCAGCAAATTCCAGTAGCAATGATTTATATTGAGTAAACAAATCAGTGAGATACACAACGCGATTGTTTCCAATAATTTCCGTCTTTATAATTTCCGAAGTGATGAAATTGACGGTTTTTGTGCCAATATCTTGGTTCTGGATGTTCCTGACATTGCCGTTTCAATGAAATTTGATATGATGAAAAACAAGTTGAATGATAAGCAACAGATTGAGGGCTCTCTAGTTTCGCTAACAATTTAGTGTCATTCGATTTTTTGGCCATTGATTTTATTGTTTCAATCGTTGCTTCTGATTGCGGGAACGTTGTATAGATTCGCCTCTTACCAACTTTTTTTTCAACATGATCACAAAAAAGGCAGGCTGACTTTTTGATTTTAGGTGTTGATGGAATAGCTTGCTGGGATATTGTAGCAGCAGATGATAAACTTTGAAAAACTTGAGTTTGATCATCTTCGTGCGCAGATGTACTAGGCTGCTCGTTTGAAGCAGTCGTAGTTCGCTGTTCATCTGCTGGAAGTGTAGTTGGTTGATCGCTCAATGAAGGCCTTGATTCTTCCTACAAAGTAAATGTATGTGTTTGAAGATGATTTGTATTAAAAGCTTACTGTTCGAAAAATTTTTTTTTTCATATCCGATTAATATTGTTACTATTGTATATACTTACTAGATCACAGTTGACATCAGAAATACTTCGTTCATGAAGATCTGAAGGGAGGCTCGGAATCTGTTAATTATAAAAAATACGGTGTTATAGTTAAATATTCCATGGTCATTCCACAACACTGTTTTAATTGTATTTGATATAATTAAATGAAAATATTAAATCGATCTACAAAAATACAATTATATAATCTTTGTTTTTTTTTTTAATTTTCTAAATGTAGAGAGTTATATATTTTTTTTTCGGAAAAACATAACGCACAGTTAATAGAAAAAGTTAGTAATAGTATTTATTTCTCCACATTATATTGTTGAATGATTTTATTGTGTGCTTGAAATAAGTTTAAAAAAAGGTCCGACTACCTGATAAATTCTACCTGTCTAAGAAATGAAATATCTTAGGAATGAGTAAATGGTGCTACGTTACCACGTTTTTCCACAAAAATAAAAAATTAAAAAAAAAAATAATTTTAACAAAAAAACTTCGAAGTTAGCACTGTATTATTTATATCGTATCTATAACCTATAATATTTTTAAGTTCAGTTGAAATTTTACTTACTGTTTGTGTTTTGCAAAAATTTTCGAATTCTTCTTTGTCTTTTTCCTTTAAAACTGTAATTTTTTTAAGGCACTCTGTATGATATCCAAAATCATCAGTTGATTCAATTGTTAATAAAGCGTCGTGATATTTATATTTTTTCATACGACGAAATAATAACATGAGCGAACACTTTTTAAATGATGCATCATTAAAGTTAAGTACATAGTTTTTTTTTGTTACACAGAAAACACGCCTTCATCTTTATCAATTTTATTTTACGTAAATTAATTTGATAATTTTAGATCCACAAATAAAATAGCAATATAAATAACGTTGTATATTACGAACTCCAAAACAGCGTGGTTTCTAAGTTAGAATAAATATGCTGCAGCTGGTCAGTTGAGAACACTAGCACCCGACGCATGCGCAATGGCTTTAAAACGTCGGACAGCTGGCAATCGCTGTCTTCGTCTGACTGGTGACATTACGCGCTAGCTCTCTTTCACTCTACTTTTAATATTTATCATATTTAGCAGCCAGCAACTCTTATTTGCGGCCAGATTTAATTAGGCACCCATATATCATAATAATAAGAAAAAAATTAGCTTTAATTTAATATATAAATCATAAATGTACGTTATAAACGTAAAAAGATATCAAAATCATACCTGTTTACACCTGGCTGCAAAGAGGTGCGGCCAAGTGCGCAACGGCAACCGTAAATTTTCAAAGTCTTTATATATATTGCCGTGAAGTGGACGATATTTTATTTTAAAAACAAATCAATGAAATTTTTTGCGAAAAATTAATTAAAAATAATTTAATTAAAAATACTAGCGGCCACATTTTGATAGGCACCCTAGCAAATATTTATTCTCTTAATGATAAATATGCGTAAAAATTAGGTTTTTAGCATATACTCGATGAGTACACTAATTCTGCAGTGGGATCCTAGACTATACAAGGCACACTGTATCGGGTGTAGAACAGTTTGATCGACCCGATCGTTTTCAGCATTTACAGATAGATATAGTAGGGCCATTACCTATTTCGGCATACGGTCATAGATATTGTGTAACAATGATAGACCGGTGTACCGGATGGCCCGAAGCTTTTCCGGTACAGAACATTACTGTAGCGAGAATAGTGTTTGAAGGTTGGATCTCTCGTTTCGGATGCCCTTCGAAGCTGACCAGCGACCAGGGTAGACAGTTTGAGAGTGACATCTTTCACCAGTTAATGAAATACTTAGGGATTCACAAATTGCGCACCACGCCTTATAATCCACAGAGTAACGGTATGGTTGAGCGTTGGCATAGAGCACTAAAAGTGGCTTTAATGGCACGCTTAAAATGCAACAGTTCATGGGTAGATGAATTACCAGTAGCGCTGTTAGGTCTACGCGCCACTACTAGAAGCGACAGTGGTGTGAGCGCAGCTGAATTAACTTATGGTAAATCAATCAGATTACCGGGTGATTTCTTCGAAGATGCGAAATTTGGCGATACGGATTCGGAATATTTACAAAAGTTACGGGATAATATACGTAATTTGAATCCGAGATCACCGTGCCACCGTAATTCGCGTTCGTTATTTGTTCCTAATAGATTAGATAATTGTAAATATGTGTTTGTTCGGAATGATTTGATGCGAAAATCTCTTCAACCCCCTTATGATGGCCCCTATAGCGTCATAAGCAGGAGAGGGAAAACTTTTGTCATAAAAATAGGAGAAAAAGAAAGTACTATTTCTATGGATAGGTTAAAACCCGCGTACATTCTGAACGAGAACGATTTAGGCAATAACATTAATTTATGATGATGATTAAGATATGATGATAGTTGTACGATAGTTTTGTTAGCACAAATAACGCAGACACTTCTAGCAAAGTTTTAATTCGTTTACGCTTACGCCGGTACGTTATAATCAATTCTATTCTAAGTAGAACGTATCATCGTTACTTATGATTAGTGGTTATGATTATGATTGTTTTAGGTTCGATGTTTAACCTACATAATTAATAAATGTAATAACTTGTCAGTTTAATTTACTCAATTGTGAATTGTTTCTTTTATTAGCTGTTATGATTTATGAAAATTCTAGGTAATTAAATATGTAATAGTTGTAATAATATTTAGCGAACACTTATATTTTAATATGCACCTATCTTTATAGTATAACAACTATGTAGTATAAAGTTTATACTACATAGTTGCGAGTTGCATAGCATGCATTTCGCAATGGATCAAAGTACATGATTATTAAAGTAACGTTTTAGTTGTTTTAGCATTTTAATTGTCATGTCATTATTAGTCGTTGTTAAGCATTTGTAATAAGATATATTTGTTTTGCAATGTAAAATGTGGAACGCTTCACGATCGTGGTGTGTGAATGTTAATCTAGTGTAAGTTAAGTGTTTATCTTTATATAAGGAGAGGAATGGTGTAGGGACACAGTATAGGTATCTATAATATACTAGCTCTTTAGATTGCGTGTCCGGTGACCTATGTCATGCCCATACTTATTTAACAGCTTTACCTATGTATGTGTAATGCATGTGTATGTGTATAATAGATATAGGTATGGCGGCTGCGTCCGCCACGCGGAGTTGCAAATATATCACCGTTTACTCGACACGTGTCTTCATTTATTGCAACCTTAATGGACTTAAGTAAATTAATTAATTAATTAAATACAGTACCCATAAAACTGCACATAAACCAATTTTGGTAAAAAAATTTATGCTCAGATAAATGCCCAAGGACAGAAATTTATCGGCGCTTATTAGGAATTTTCCCAATTTGCCAAAAATGCCCGGGCATTTGCCCATCTCTAGGTAAGACACGCCAACTAGCCAACAAATACAACTTCTCGAAGATCTCGAGGTCTGGAGTAAATTATACACAATATACATATATAAATGAGGATATTTTTTTAAACTTCATAGTTATACGCATTTTTTTAAAAATAGTAATAGAGATGTATTTCATTAAGATTGTATAAATAAATCAGCATATTTTTAAATTTATTTTTAATATAAAAGTTTTATATTTTTGCTTATTATAGTTGCTTGCTATTTTCGCCTCTAATTGTAATGGCACTAAGCTGTTTTAACATAGCGTTCATCTTTTGCATTGTAAAAGTTTACATGTTAGCCTTCATTTTATAAATAAAAACGAAAAAAATCGGTCGCTTATAATGCTCGCTTTTCATTGGATGCGGTCAAGTGGAAGTGTTATCTAAAAGGTGAAAAGTAAGTCGTATGCATTATATTCAGATTTTTGAAAATCATTCAAAATTATTAGAAATAATGATGTTTTTGTTCTTGATGTAGAAATACATCAGTACGCAAAATCTGCACTTCACTTTGTGAAATGATGAATGTCATTTATACCATTATTGAGTTATTTGCTTGTGGATTTATATATTTTCGATTGTTTGTGTTAAAACACTTCTTATTTTAATTAATTTGTATAGCTTTTAGAAGAAAAATAATAAAAGGCAGTGGCAGTTTGTTCGATTTATTTTACAATTTATTGTACAAGATGACTCGGTGTCTTCAAAATACAAACATATAAAAATTATTGTTACCTTTAGAGGTTGGGAACATTTCTGATGATGGGCTAGAAGATGGAAACGATGATGAACACGACTCTATAGTAATACCAGGGAAGTATTCCAAGATTTTTCGGGAGAAGAAGACGCAGATGGCGCAAAATTATTGGCGCCATCTGCGCATGTTACATTCATTATTAAATGAATCCACTGAAGTACTTATAGTAAAAAGCGATCCGCAATTTCAGGATAATTCTGAACAGTCAAGCTAATCTATCCTTTGCCAGCTTCGATAGGTGGAAACTAATGTAGGAAAATGTATTGCCTGCCTTGCCTGCCTTATGATGAAAATAAATTATTACACCAGCCTAGCACAACTTACCCTGCAATAGCTGATCTTGATACAACATACAGATGTTTCTTCCATTACTTCACGCCTGAGTTTTTACAAAATAATCCCGATTAAATAAGTATGTACGCCATTCAAAAAAATCCTATCCTTTTGATCATGATAAGGAAATAAAACAAAAAATAGATATTTTGTGCCCTTAGACTATACAAGAGTAAGCCCATGGGGTCGGCCTGATGGCCAACTATTTTGGACGTTACCGTATTCGTGGAAAGAGCCGGAAATGGTAATTGGGCCTTTTTTCCAATCGTTGGATCCGCTGTGATAAATTCTTGGATAAAAATATGGATTGCGAAATATGACTCCACCGAATCCTGGATAGTTTTGGAATATTTTGGCCGATACTCTTTACAACTTTGGTTCAACTAATGGCAAAAGTGGGCGTCCAAGCAATGGCGCTTTGAAGCTTCTTCAAACTAAGAAACCGAGAGGCCCGCTTCATCCACTCTCCTGAAGGGATATACGAATAGACGGTAGTGAGCGTTTGTACGTGTTTGCCAATCGCTTGCGCTTGCTTGCAGTGCATGATGCCTCAATGTAAAGACATCGCACAATGGTCATGTGCAAAAAGTAACTTGCGTCTGTGTCTAAAGGCACATAATAACTGTTTTAGCGATTTCCATACTAAATAGTATGCTAACTGTAGTTAAAAATCCTTTTTAGTCGATATGGGTACGCGCTGTCTACAATAGGTAGAGCTGTTTGCATGATGATGTATTTCTACATCAATAATTGTTTTATAAATGTGTACATTTTTCGAGTCATATGATTTTTTTCTAAATTTTTACCGTAAGGTTAAAATAGCGAATCTCGCGAGTTTGTGGTTCGTTTGCGTGACTATTTTCGTGAATACCAAAATGGCGGACCGCTGTTGCCAGTGTTACAAGTGTGTGACAGAGTTGCAGAGGCTCTTGGAATTGGAAGAGCTACTGTGACTAGAATCAGCAAAAAAATTTGGAGATACATCAACGGAGGAGAGTAAATTATCTATAGTATTTAATAGTATACTCCACATAAAAAGAGAAAGAAACGTTGCCCTGTAACTGACATAGACGATTTCGATGCCGCAGCAATTCGTTATCTTTTCTACGCATACTATACACGTAATGAGCTGCCAACTTTAACAAAATTAGCAGTTTCTTTGAAATATGCAAATTTGTTCAGTGGGAGCCTGCCGTCTTTATCAACAATGTTTAAA